AGTAGCTACTATAAATTATTCAGGAAATTCTGTGAGATATTCAGTAGCTACTGTAAATTATTTAGTAGTTACTGTAAATTATTTAGTATTTACTGTAAATTATTCAGGAAATTCTATGAGCTATTCAGTAGCTACTGTAAATTATTCAGTAGCTACTATAAATTATTCAGGAAATTCTATGAGCTATTCAGTAGCTACTATAAATTATTCAGTAGTTACTGTAAATTATTCTGGAAATTCTATGAGTTATTCAGTAGCTACTATAAATTATTCAGTAGTTACTGTAATTTATTCAGGAAATTCTATAAGTTATTCAGTAGCAACTGTAAATTATTCAGTAGCTACTATAAATTATTCAGTAACTGCAAAATATTGTTCTGTATCTACTATGAATTCTTTTGTACATGACTGACGGCGGTGTGCAGCCGTGTAAGTGTTGCCGTGGTGATTGCATTAGCGGTATAGCTGTGGTGTTCCCGTCTGTGTGTGGTGTGATAGTGTTATCCACTATGCTGTCTTATAAAATGTTACATACACGGATGTTTTTCAGTGCGTCTAACGGGTTTTTGGGGTTCGCCTGGACTTCAGCTGTGAACTCACCTCAAAAAACGTAATATATTCCTCCACAGTTGACAGCAAAAGTTCAAACTACTCTCAGAACGTTCTGCACTGCAGCGCGCTCCCCTGCTCCATTCAGAAATATCAAATGTAAATTTCGCTGATGTTGATCAGCCGCAAGTGCAGCATAGAATTGGACTGAATAACACATTAAACGATTGGGTGGGAAAGTGAAGACTGGAAGGTTTCTATTTTGTCTTTGGAGGTGTAGTTTTGCTCTGTCGTATGCAAAAAAATGAAAAAGGAACCAGAGAGCCAGCAAGGGAGGAGAATCTCGTAATGACTGAGCCAGTATTACTTTCTCTGGTGACTTCAGAATGATAGTTTGGTGACAAATCTGTTTTACACCATCATGAAGGCTGAATTTATTCATACTTCAGTCCATGTTTATAGAAAACAGTGAGTCATACAGTGTCAGAAACTACATAATCAAGACTATTAGAGATACTGAGAGTGATTTAGGCCTTATGCTAATTGGTGCTGTATAAGCTTCCATTACCTGTTGGCTACATTAGCCTCGTGGCCCCAGTGCTAAATCTAAAGAAGCAAACTTCAGACACCAAACCCGTCTCGGCTGAAGGACTGTGCTTGGTTTAAAGGGGGAAATTGTGTAAATGTGTTTTTTGCTGAACTTTCGCTTTAAACTGTGGTGTTTCTGGGAAAGTGGATGCAGGCCTTGCTGCGGTTTTGGTCATTTATTTTGCGGCAGAATATCAAAAGGGAAGTGTGAACTGTCAGCTCAGCTGTGGCATCAACACAATAAATAATGCAGATGGTATTCTATAAACAAGCGTGGAACAAAAAATAGGTTTGTCTTTGAATTGAGAGACAATATGATGGTATTTTGTCATTGCTGTAATTGCATTATGCTTTTTGGAGCTTAGTATGGATATCAGTACTGGCAGAACACTGAACAACTGCATGTTTCATTATTAAGAAAGCATAATGTTTAACTGGATTTAGTGCAGCACAGTGTGTGAAACGTTAAATAAACAATTTATAATAGATTTGAAATTATGTATTGACTTCATCAAGCTTACATATTGTGTGAAAATTGTGAACATGTCTGGAAGTGTCATGATGGTATATTTTTTGCCCACTTTTAATTTGATTTGCCTTTTAGTGTAACAACTGAGTTCAGTTTTCATGTTCTTCTTATTTTTTTATTGCTTTTGATACCCTTGTTTACTTAAAGAATAATGTTTATGACAACAAATATTGAGGAATCTGAACAAAAATTAATTTATTCTTTTTTTAATTACATATTTTTAAAATTGGGAAAATATACAGTTCAAATTCTAAAGAAAACAAACTATATAACCCAAAATTGGGGCACTTTCACCAATCACAAGGCTGATGTTTTGATGATTTGTCCCATCCACACAGCTTTAACCCCTTAAAATCCCAGGCTTATTACATACTAAGGCTTATTATTCAGTAACTACAGGGACTTCAGTGGAAACTGGCTGAGCTATTCTTAGGTTATAGACGTGTGTAATAATAAAACTTTTGGTCTGCTGTCAAGCCCTGGCTGTTTAAGGTTTTAACGAAACCCCAACAGTCCGTTGATGGTCAAGTCAGATAAACTTACAGAGAGAAAGCTAACCACCAAGCGAAAGCTAACCTAGCAAGCATCTATTTCATTCAAATTTGGTGGCATGTTCAATATAACACTTAACTTTATTATCATGCAAAGTTTTGAGTGTTCTATGCTGTGTTTTTCTTGGGACTGATTAAAACAGCACATCGCTGGGTCAGACACAGTGGAGGGGTTTTATATTATGACACTGTTTTTCTGTATCAGTTAAAATGTCACTAATGCAGACTTACATTAGCAGTAGGGAGAGGCTTGTTGGCCTGTATATCTGCATATCTGTGAAAATGAAATCATGACTCTACATTAAGCTACCACCTCCTCAGGAACACACACACATATACAAGCACCAAAACTGAGCCCCGGATGTGTTCACAGCCTAGCAACAGCCCTGTGTTGTATGAAGGAGGAAAAAACAAGTAAAAAAAGTGGTCCTGCTTCAAAATCACATGTATGTTTCGATCACTTTTCAATTTCGATTTGAAATTTTACACCAATACTCAATATAGAGAAACTAGAAGAGCTGATTAAATTCATTAATTCGTTAATATAGTGGATGAAGTCGAGGTTAACTATTGATAACTGGTAGAATGATTCCTGTGTGAATGTGAGTATGGCAGGACCTGTGTAACTGTGTACGAGTGGTCGAGATGGCATATATTCTGAATATGAGCGTATCTGTATCTGCGTGATCAGTATTACCTGTCGAAGAACTTGAGTCACTACTTTCATTATTACTGTGTGAACTTCCTTAATCTAACAAATTGCTCTTCATTCACTCATTTCATCAAAGAGTCTTTTCCGATGATACTTCTGTTCTGAGACTGGTTTATGAAGTAACCTAAGTCAGATTACCCATCCACTTCCTCTGAAACTGAGCATCTGTGTGCGTGTGAGTCATTCCAGTAGTGGTCTGACTCAGACTTGCGTGATACCATGAGCAGTCTGCGCTTCTGTGGTCAATGAAACTGATGATTCAATTCCTTTTCATTCATAGACAGTGGGACAGGCTGGAACGCTTCTGAGCAACACGGCTTCGTTCCGTGGTAAAATGTGTGGTGGTCAAACATCAAATAGCTTAACACACGCTGGGATTGTGGAACAGTAAGGATTCATGAGCTTCATTGAATTTTCCCCAACGCACATGAAACCTAGAACCGTGACCGTCCAACCAACATGAACCCTGCAACCTCTGAACATCCAAAAAATGCAAACCCAACAAGCCTGAAACCTACAACCACAGACAGCTGACCAACTTAAACCTTACAGTCAACGATGCACCTGGGAACTCTAACGATCTTAAACCCAGCAAACACAAACGCTACAACCATACACCTCCAATACACCACAAATATCCGACACAAAAATCCAGACCTATAAACATGAGCTTATTAAAAATGAACCCAACAAATACAATCCCAGCAAACACAAATCCAGCAACCACAAATATCCAACAAACACAAACCCAGCAAACACAAATCCAGCAAGCACAAATATCAAACAAATGCAAACCAAACAAACACAAATCCAGCAGCCACAAGTACCCAACAAACGCAAATCCAGCAAACACAAATCCAGCAACCACAACATCCACCAAACACAATCCCAGCAAACACTAATCCAGCAACCACAAATATCCAACAAATGCAACCCCAAAAAACACAAATCCAACAACCACAAACATCCACCAAACACAATCCCAGCAAACACAAATCCAGCAACCACAAATATCCAACAAATGCAACCCCAGAAAACACAAATCCAGCAACCACAAATATCCAACAAACACAAATCCAGCAAACACAAATCCAGCAACCACAAATATCCAAATACAAATCCAGCAACCACAAATATCCAACACACGCAAACCCAGCAAACACAAATCCAGCATCCACAAATATCCAACACAAATCCTGCAACCACAAATATCCAACAGACACAAACCCAACAAACACAAATCCAGCAACCACAAATACCCAACAAACTCAAACCCAACAAACAAATCCAGCAACCACAAATATCAAACAAACGTAAACCCAACAAACACAAAACCAGCAAACACAAATGTAGCAACCACAAATATCCAGCAAACTCAAGTCCAACAAACAGAAAACCCAACAAACACAAATTTTGCAACCACAAATGTCCCACAAACATGAACCTTACAACAACTAAAACAGTATCCAACAAATACAAACCCAACAATCATAATACCAACAAATCTGTCAACCACACCACAACAAACATGAACTCTACAACCAAAAATGTCCAAAATATGCAAACTCAACAAAAATCCTACAACCATGAACATCCAACAAACACAACCCCAACATACACAAACCTCAATAACCCAATAAACACCAATCCAACAAACTTGACTAGCAGAAACCCAACAAGCACGATCCCAAAAAACCCGAAACACTAACCCAACAAACACAAACCCCACAACCTAACAAACAAAGCAACAAACATAAAGCAGCTTAGCAGTTGGCTTTAGAAACGCCAAGTGAATCAGCCTCAGGAGTCACACAAAGTGTTCAAGTTTACTGTTAACTTTTTGTTGCAGAGCATTGTGCTGTAGACTCATTGACTTTGAATGTTGCTCAGTCACAGGCGTTTAAGTGTTTGTGAGGTGATTCTTTTTTGATCCAGTAATGGTGCAATGAAAGTTCTCCTCTCAGAGTTTCACTTCTGATTTTTGAACAAAACCTTCACAGAATTATTTCTCTGTAATTCTCAGTCCTTGTTTCTCTCTTTCTTTTCTTCTTTTTCTGTCTTCGTAATACAGTGTTCCTCAGCTGTGCTGGTTACTGCGATGAATGGTAACACTATCCAGCAGACCACGAGCAGCGTGCCACCCATAGCGCCCCCCTGTGGCTGGAGGGAGTTCTGTGAGTTGCACGCAAGTGCCACGGCCCGGGATGTGGCCCAGCGGTACCGGCGCTTCGCCAGGACCCGCCCGCCACACGATGTCGTCCCTCCGGAGAGCTTCAGCCGGCACTTCATTGCGCTGTTCCAGCAGCACTTCCGCAGCGAGGTGGCCAAAGATGTCCCGTCTCCGCCACCACCTCCCATGATGACTGGCCGCTTGCGCATCACTTCCTTTTCTGGTGCGCTGGACTACCGGGAGCCAGGGGGCGCCGCCCTATTGGGTGTCCTGTCCCCCAAACCGGACATGGTGACCGTGGCCCGGGAGCAGGAGCAGCCTTTGCGCTGTTCGTCTAATGACACTACAAACAGAGCTCTCGGCCACGCCCCCGAAGAGGAAGATGAGCTCCACCCGCCGCGCTCTGATGTCACTCATTTCAGTCAGTTCCGTCAAAGCATACGCCGGTTGTTCAAGAAGCGGCCTCCTCCCGAGGACCCTGCCCATGGTGGGTCTGGGAACGAATCGGAAAGGAGCAGCGTGGCCTCGGGGACGGCAGATCGGGCCTCTCCGTCTCCCCCTCAGACGCCAGTAGCGCCCCCTAGTGGCTCACACCTGCTGGGCCGTTTCAGACTTAGCCGCCTGAAGCGGCCGCAGAGCACAAAGCGGCGGCAGGACAGCGGAGGCACGTGTAAGGATGGGCAGCTGAGGTACCTGGTGGTGGACGACACTATCTCCGACACAGCGCCACGATGGCTGCGCTGCCGTCTGCTGGTCAGGAGGACCAGCGACAGGTTCCAGCTGGAGCTCTATGATCCACCCAAGGTAGGAAAGAAATCAGCTATGTTTTACTCGTCGCTGTCGTGAGAAAATGTGTCAGTACGGAAAGTGTAACGTAAATATTCAGAAAATGTCACAGTACATAAGGGCAGATGGCATTTCCACTTGCATTTTCAAAGAAATTGAAGTTGCAAGTAGAGATGCATCAATACCACTATTTCTTTTCTGATACTGACCTCGATATTGAAATATTGAGTATTGGCCAATTCTGATACCAGGGCAGTATTTACTACTTTACTACTAATTTTCTAAGGATAAATTTGTTACAGGATCAGATTGGATTCGTTCTTTTTTCCCCTCCAAAATCCCATCCAGCATTTTCTACTAATATCAGCCCCATACTGGTACCTGGTGCCATCTCTGTTTATGATTTTTTTCTTATGTCTTGCTTTCACATCTCCTTTCCCAACATGCTTTTGAGTTCTTGATGAAAATTTCTGACCTCCAGTATTCCACCAGGCTCTCAATCTGCCTTCAAATTGTTTTGCAATAGCAGAATATTTAGGAATACTGTCAAAAAACAGTAGTATGTGTAGTAGTATTGTATTATAATAGACAGGGAGTGTGTGTACTTGAGTGCTTAGGTGCCTTATGAGGTCACTGGGTCAGAGGTTGCCAGTGGTGGAGATGAGTTTTTACCTTAGTTAGGTAGCCGAGAACTGTGAAACTGGACGTGAAAGGTATTAGGTTCATGTTTGGGTTTCAGTTCAGGTCAAGTCACATTTACCTTGTATAGACAAAAATATGGACCAGATTTTATTTGAAATTCAGGCTTCTGGATGGCTGCTACTGTTTTTAGCTAATGTACTTTAGTCCACGATTATGCTGACCGGACACTTCATTAAAACCACCTTGATTCTACATTCATTGTCCATTTTATCAGCTTCACTCACTGTATAGTTTCACTTTGTAGTTCTACAGTTACAGACTGTAGCCCATCTGTTTCTCTGCATACTTTGTCACCCTGTCCTTTGATGGTCAGGACCCCCATGGACCCCCACAGAGCAGGTACTATTTGGGTGGTGGATCATTCTCAGCACTGCAGTAACACTGACGTGGTGGTGGTGTGTTATTGTGTGTGTTGCGCTGGTCTGAGTGGATCAGACACAGCAGTGCTGCTGGAGTTTTTAAACACCTCAGTGTCACTGCTGGACTGAGAATAGTCCACCAACCAAAAATATCCAGCCAACAGCGTCATGTGGGCAGCGTCCTGTGACCACTGATGAAGGACTAGAGGATGACCAACACAAACTGTGCAGCAGCAGATGAGCTATCGTCTCTGACTTTACATCTACAAGGTGGACTGACAAGGTAGGAGTGTCTAATAGAGTGGACAGTGAGTGGACACAGTGTTTAGAAACTCCAGCAGCACTACTGTGTCTGATCCACTCACACCAGCACAACATGGCAACTGGCATGACCAGACAGAGTATTTCAATAATAATTAATCACTTTTTATATCATCATGATATCTAACAACAAACATCGCATGTTGTGCAGCCCTGATAAGTTGGCCGACTGTTTATGTTTAGAGTGAAAAAGGCGTGAAAGTTGACTTATTTTGGCCAAACTGTCCCTTGAATCGTGTCCTGCAGAGCGTCTCTAACATGTGAGTGCAATAAAAAACAGCTTTTACACAGCATGCATTTACCATATGCAGCAGCTCTAGCAGGCCTTTTCTGCTCTCTCTCTCTCTCTCTCTCTCTTTCTCGCTCGCTCTGGTGTAATTGCTCGTCTCGGAGGGTCATTTCGGCAGCCAATCAGGCGCCACTAATGCTGCGGGGTCATGGCTGGATCTGGCTCCTGATTGGCTGCTGAGGAATCCTGGCCGTGCAGCCGTGACTTGTGCTGGATTTCCAAATAAGGCGAAGGCTCCACTGAAACACAGCGAACGCTGCAGAGAGCTCTTCATTCATTCACACTGTGATCATGTACTGGTGTTTAATGAGCTGCACGGCCTTCTGAAGGAGACGGTCAGCGAAGAGTCTTCAGCACAAATCAGTGTTATACTTTCACTTTTCACCGTGTATGTGTACACCATAAATGCCCCCATAATTCAGTGTGTAAGATGCAAACAGAGTGGTTTGGTGTGAAATGGTTCAGATTTCTTTACAGTGGTGGTGATAGGAACCAGGGGTCGCCATGACTACAACACAAATATAGACATTTTATTTACTATCCAGAACCACCAGTGAACCTACACGAGTCTTCTGAGTTTATATGGAATGTTGATGATGGAAAAATGTTGTTAAACCTGAAAATATGTTTTTTTTGGGGGGGGGGACTATTTTGCCTCACGGGCCCTGCATGTATTCAGGCAGTGAATTCATAACCATTTCATGTAGTAACTCTCTGTGAGGGAGCTTTTAGAGGTGGACGTCTGGTTCCTATCACCACCACTGTGAACAGTTCTGACTCAGTACGTTTTTCTAGAACAGAGCGTTTCACACCAAACGACTCTGAATGACTCTGTTTACATCTCAACCATTTAATTATCCAGATTTAGAAAAAAAAAATGGTGGAATTTCCTCTTTACCATTAAAAAATAACTTTAACGTCAACTAGAGATGCGGGAAGTGGGGATGCTGAGGCGGCTGCAGCACCCTCGATTTCAGCACTGCAACTGCTAAAAACAAAATTAATAATACACAGATATGAACTTTTTAGTAATATGACTGTCGCAAAGACTTGTGTGCTTGTTTTAGATAGTAGTTTTTTTCTGTTTTCATTTATGTATTTTCAAAATCTGCAGTAGCTGCGCTGTTCAAGTTACTGCTGTATTTTCATCACAGCAAGACGAATCCCTTCCCTCGAAAACAGCCAGCTTCTTTTAAAAGACACCTGGTTGAGGTGCAAAAAGAGAAAGTGTGAGGAGAGATAAAGGCCAGTTCTGAAACCCACAGCAGCCTAATACTGTTTTTAAACTCATCTAATGTAATAGTGTAGCTGTTATATGTCCTGCTGAGTGTGAGTTCCAGTGTTAAATCTCACTGTGTGACTGTGTGTGTGATCAGTCTAACAGTATCAACAATCTGATTGGTTGCCGCTCAGCTGATTTGCACAAAGTTTGTCCCGATTGAGGGAGCAGAGAGAGGATGTGCGTCAGTGGTCTGATGTGTCAGTAATGTATTGTCGTCTCTCGCCTCATTATGGTGCAGTATGACGCGTTAAGTTGGATGTAAATGACCAAAACAATTTAAATGGAACAAAGGCAAATAATTCAGCATGACATCATCGTCCACATCACGTATATGCTATATTTCAGCACCCCCAACTTAAAACACCTTTCCTGACAGCCTTCCTGACGTTAATGACTGCAGGACATCATCCATGTCTCTTATTCTTGCCTCTAGCAGCCTCTAGCAGGTTTCACTGACGGCATGTTTTTCATTCACACCCAGTAAAAGCCTTCTGAAAATTTTTGGGAACAGTTCTGCTTTGTCAGCGTGCTGCTTCTGTTTTTAAACTGTACTTACCAGAAATAGTGTTTTAAACTGAGAGTAAGAGCAGAAACTGTGTGCACGTTGGAGTAAAATGAAACAGATCACTCCAGAACGTCACACTGTGCTCATATCATTCATCTGTAGCATTGTGTGGTTGTGTTATCTATGAAAACCCAAAGATCAGATCATTAGCAGTGGATAAGGGCTTCTGTACGTCCCTAATACACTGCAAATGGGTGTAGTTCGTATTTTGAATGCTGACTGCATTTGGTGGTGCTTGGCAGGGTTATTATGATTAACTAGAACTATTACCAAAACTAAAATTGTGCTTGCTAACTGAAATAAAAGTTCTGAAAAACACAAAAACTAAATCAAAACTGTAATGTCCACTGCAAAGCTAACTAAAACAAAATAGAATTACAATAAACAATAAACCTTTAATTTATAACAACCTTTAATTTTAGTTTTTTATTTTTTTTTGTGCATGAATGAGAGTAGTGTAGTGTGTTTTTTTGTGTTTGGCCATCTTTAAGGAGAGCTGAAGCCAAGCCCAAGCTCAGTCTGCTGTTACGCTCACTTTATTTTACCCATATCAGATACCAGATATCTCAGTGTCATCATCATAATCCTAGAAACTTAAACTAAAACTGAAACTAAACCAAAACTATTACTTTTAGAAAACAAAAAATAAAACTAAAACTATAAATGCACCCTTAAAACTAATTGAAACTAAACTGAAAATTTTGAAAAACTCAGCATAAACAGTACAAACTGATGTGAGTTTCAAAACTATAATAACTCTGGTGCTTGGACCCCTAAGAAAGTCCAAAAGTCTCTGAGAACGCCAGCGCCAAGTCAGATGACCTGTGCCGGCTCTGGTCTGATTGCACTGCGTCCGTCTCTGCCGAGCTCCGTCCACAATAGCAGCTGCTCTGCTGGAAGCTGTTTCTCCCACTGACCCCGAATCAGCTGTGGCTTTTGTGCGGGAGGCTCCAGCGAGACGGCGCTGCCCTCAGATCAGCTCCGGAGCGCAGCGGCAGAAAGAGGAAGCTGCCGAGAGGCTGATAATTCGCTTTGCGTGAGAAACTTTCTCTCAGGGAAGTGCTAGCTCTGCCTGTGGAGCCGGCCTGCGCTCTGCAGATAAACGCCTATGATTATCTGCTGATTTCACAGAACTGCTGTATTGTTATCAACTCAGAGTTAAAACCTTTTGCTAATAAAGCAAAAAATCTCATTTACACAGTTCCCCTCCCCCTCCTCTACCCCAAATCTTTCTCTTCTTTAGTTAAAGCACTGTTACTGCAGCTACGAGGCTAATGTAGCCTATGGAAGCTCATGGAAAAACAGTTAGCATGGTGCTATTTCTCAAATCACTCAAATCATTCGCCTAGAACTGTGTGGAGGTGTTCAGTATCTCTAATAGTCTTGATTATGTGGTTTCTGACACTGTATGACTCGCTGTTATTTATAAATATAGAATAAAGTGCGTTAGCATAGCTAAAAACAGTAGCGGCAAGAGGGTGCTGCTGTTAGAGGTGGAAT